CCCTTTCACTCGATTTGATCTTACAAAATGGTCAGATTATTATCAATTTGGTGTACGCTCTCGATGTAAATACAGACAACGTGACATCTCATACATCATCGATCCAATTAGTATTTAGAGAACTTGCAAATGATATTAATATAGCGATAATCAACGTCAGCTCGTTATGATTGACGCCTGGGAGTAATGAATTAATCGCCGATGAAATTGATAATGTAACGCTTGTTTACGTTTGGCAAACGCGAAACAAGTGTACAAGAAAAGATACGAGAATCACGATAACGTAATAAGTAGTTTGGAATTCGTTTGGCGAGCAATTCCGAGCCTGACGGTGTATACGAGCGTTAGTTAAGAGTTCATTTAGTGGTTTCCTATTATTGCTGTAATAATTGCCAAGCATACTCAGGCCGGTAAGACGTGTAAGGATATCTTGCGATTATTCAACGTCACAATGTAGATTTAGACGGTTTAAACAGCGAATAAATAATTGCATTTTTTAGCAACTTAAGCTGAGTGGATTTTGTTGCGACAGCGGCACGAAAGTGCCTTTCATCTTTCCATTGATTTCACGTGGGATTTAATGTATTAATTTAATGATCTTACTATCTCGTGTCTTACGCACGTACGTAATATTTGTTAGAAAAACAAACGTCTTGCAGACAGGTAGCCACCTCTTGTAAATCAGTGGTACACGAAACGCGATTGTCATGTAAGTAACAGTATCAACGATTTCTCCAACATCTTTTTTGTCTCTTTATCACTACGTTACTACGTTAAATATTTTTATATACATTACTGTTTATTTTTATATTACTATAAATTTTTATACATATCGTTATATTAAATTTTCACAAAATTCGTTAAGTGAGTTGTTAAATGTATTGTTGGTATATATACAAAGAACAAAATCCTTCTCGAGAAACCTGTGCAATCGTACAGGCAGCAGTAAAACTTTGAACACGAAGGTGGTTCAGCCAACAAGGGGAATTAAAAATAAGACAGAGGCAGATATACTCCTCTCTGGCAGACTAATAGTTTCAATCTCGACCGCAGCTACCTGCAGATCCGCACGACATTTGCAAATTAGAATAGGCCTGGCACGCAAAGCTTACGATCGTGTGCACGCGTGCTAGCGAGGAACAGTGGCCTCGTACACTCGTATACGAGCCGATGAGCCGTAAGAGGTGGCTGCTTCTGTTCGGAGGCAACTGGCGTGCTCTCGGCATAAACGCGCTGCATCATTACGGGACGATGCGCCCGCGGCCCTCTTTGTACCCCAGACGTAATTTCATTCCTATCGGCGTGCACTCGCTCGGACAGGAGAGCGCGACTCGTCTCGTCTCGGCTCGATCCAATACGCGGCGGGAAAATCTTTACCAGTTCTTCTTACTTGCTTGCAAGTTCGTTATTAGCGCGCGTCGTATTGCGACGAGGATTAGCGCGTCTGCTTGATTCTAACCTTGGAGAAACGATCGAATCAAGGCTGAAAGATCTTCTTGAAAATAAGTACACTCCTTTGCCACATCTGTAGGATATTCACAGCGTTTAACACGTTCCGTGCCAAGCCATTTTTGCCATATTATATTATACACAATCTTTCATTACATCATCAATCGATAAGTAGTTCTCTTGTTTAGAGTTAGCTATCACATCGTGTACCACACGTGGCTTGAAGATTAAGTTTAACGTGTACCACCGGTGGTACACATGGCACGGAACGTGTTAACCTCTTAGGCACGGGTTTCTCTTAAACGATACAGCATTGCAATGTGTAATGGACAATGCTGTTCTCTACGCGAGTACATTGTAATGAAGTTTTTGACGATTGAATTATAATTTTTCTTAAAGATACGATACACATACTTTTTGC